AAGATTGATTGATTGGTTGATTGGTTGAACCTAGATCATTTAAATATGTCAAAAAGATACTTTTATCAACAAGTGTTAGTTTGGTGAATCCTTCCTTTATTCCTGTCACTCTTGACTTTTTGACGTCCAAGTATGTCGTTGAATCATTAGACAATTCGAATTTGAATTGTGAAGAAGGCATTGTGAGTTCTGGAACAGAAATAAAATGATTATTAACACACTTAGGATTGAACGATATGCCAATAATCATAACGGTGATTACTGTAAATTAAATAATCTAAATCAAATTGTTTCAATTGGAATTTGAAGTTGATTGACAGTCTAACCTGTCACTTGTCCTTGGCGAAGTCTAACCACGGTATAAGATACACATGTATAAGCCATAATATACATGTCGTGAGCTGGTCTTAATAAAACCTTGTCCAATACCACTAGCTTGACAGATGATGGTGGGACATCCTACAACAACAACAACAATTATAAAGCAAAGAGAACATTTCAAAATATAATGATGTTTGTGTACCTCAAAAGCAGCTCCTCGTAGCTTTGCTCTCACAATGGCTGTTCCAGTGTTGATGGGCTCAATAATGACTTCACTCCCACGGAGATTCTTAATAAGATTATAAACATTTATTAATCAATAGAAAGAAAGAAAAAGAAAACAAAAGAAGGAGTATTCTTACCTTTGACTCAAGATCATAAATCTCTGGCCGAGTTTCATATGTGACATCCTCAAACTGAACAATTCTGCAAAGAATAAAATCATATTATGTACTTCAAAAGACAATCTACTAATAATTATTAATGATGGTTAATATTGATGTACCTTATGACAGAGTTGGCATTCACTGAACCAACACCTTCCACAGAAATGAGGTCCCAAGTAAATGACAAGGCACCAAGAGAGGAAAAGATATTGTCTATAAAGCAATAAATAAGTATATATTAGCTACTTGATAAACAAAATATTGGACAACGGGTTACTTGATAAACAAAATATTGGACATCTCGTCAGGTGATAAATCAAAATATTGGACATGTGGCTTGGTGATAAATCAAATATTGAACATCTGGCAAGGTGATAAATGATAACTACCTTCAGCATCAAAAGCTTGTACCTCCAGTACAGTTGGTGCTTCTCCAAGAAAGAGTTCTCTGCTTGTAGAAATGACTTCAATCTTTTCAATCTTACCAACAAACACATCACACTCCAATAGGATACCGGTCACTGAAAAACAAAATTAGGACATTAGTCTTCTTTATAAAGTTTTGGGCTTCCTGTGCTYTCCAAAAGGACACAGGAAGCCCAAAACAATTGTCATTTATCATAAATCAAATTTCATATCATCTCAAACTAAACATGAATGAGAGAATATGAAAATTTATAATAATGTACCTTCCTCTGCAGCAATAACTTCAGCCATTTGTTTCTCAGGAGTTCGTCTCTGAACTGTCACCACGGCTGACCTTGAACAAATTTTGCCGTATGGCTGAGCTGTAGAGAATGAGAAAACAAGTTATGTTGAAATTAATGAAGCGAAAACTGGAGTAAATTAAATAAGAGAATTTACAGAAATTCTTTCAATCAATAAATTGACTTACACATTATAGATAACAAAATGTACCATTTTGAATGTAAAATTGATGTAGTTATAGAAATGTACATATTTTGAGCTTAATTAATCATTAAATTAATTTCAATGGCAAACTTATTAATAGATTGATATCACAATTGTGTTACAAAAMGATTATTTAGATGCCAATAACACACAAAACGTCATCACATTTTAGTCAAAACTCTGACTTTAAACCATTCTGTGAGTCCTGTGTAAGCTTTCAAGTGTTTTGACAGTTTGTGTGCATTGCTCACGAAATACATTTCCCCTCTCACCATTTTCATCGTCGTCTGTCAAATACAGTGGAGTAACAGTTGCTACCTCGGGTCTATTTGAAGACCTAAACAATACATTAAAAAAATGTTATTTAGCCCAGCATGAGRAKGTCTGATAGCCGAATTATGCATCACGAATGGCGGGAAAACATACCAAGTATAGCATCCATCAACAGCTTTCAACGTGAAATTCACCGGTACAGATCCCATGGCTAAATACGGAAGSAGAATTTGAGGCATGTTGAGTGTATTGTGCTGCCTCTGTGCTGCAAGAACAAGAGGGAAAAGAAAAAGAAGGCAACAAAAAGTTTTGATAGTRMCGGGCGCCATTTTGAAAAGCACGTGGGCACAAAAACAGTCAGCGGTTTACACCTATTGAAATTAGAATGCAGGATTCCTGTATCCCCCAAATTTTCATTCTTTTTCTGCATAGCTTAAGCTTTTAAGACTTGAAAAAACGTCCAATATTGTCTTTTAAGAACCGAAAAAYGATTTTATATATTTTTGATTGCAAAGAGGTTTGTTAGTTTCTTTTCAGTGTATTTTATTAGTTTATTTCTTTGATTTCTTTTTRATTATCAAGTATACATTTTTCGATGAAATTAATAATACATTTTCAATTTTGAAGATGAAAAAAAGATCCATAAAAGGTCAATCAATGAAGGCCATTCAAGGTCTCCACCTGGCTTGCACCCATAATGCTTTGCATACCACCCTCCTCCCTGTAAATTCAAAGCGACCACAACAACTGTTTATATATAKAGATATCTTTGCAGAGTTAGATTACCAGCTARCATGTCTCTGTCTTGAAAWMYTTGCAACTTCAACCAMSAGAATTGTRTATAGCTATCTTAGGAATGGCTACAATTACAGACGGAACAAGAAGAAGAGCGAAAGACGCCGATTCCCCGCCGGCCGTTCTCACTACTGAAGGTTCAAAGGTTTGTGTATGAAAGATCGCTGGATTTTTGCTTTTTCTATCCAGAATTTCTTTTATTTGCAGAAATTCTAATAATATTTCCAGTTTCGTTTTCCTACATTTTGGTAATCTGGAGTTAAACTTAAGCTTATGCCCTTTTTGCATGGTATTATTTTGCAATGAAACTGACATCGGCGTAATCATTGTCAGATGCAAATTTGTCAAAATTTTTCCTCCTTTATAAAGGATCGGGTTGTCAGACCAGTTTATCTTTTCAAGCTATCAATTTTCTGGTGACATTAGAAGATGACGAAGATATTCCACTGCTTTATTTGAAGATTATTCATTCTGGTTTGCCGCAAAAAAAATGACTCCTCGTCTTGTTGTTGTCTGTGATCATGCTCACCGTATGAACGACATGTAATAATATTTCCCTAAATAATAGATCGATTCTCCTGGTATGATTATAGTAATGCATTGTTTTTATGAAAAAATGTTTTCTCTTAATGATAAACTTGTTATATTTCAATATTCCACTCCCTCCCTTATTTCTTTTTGTGTATGTAAGCTTAGTAATTAACTTTTTTTATGAGCAAGAAATCCCTAYTTTGCATTTTGCACGCCAAAAATAAGATTTATATTCAAAGGAAAAACATAATGCTTAATTACATTGAAAGCATTGAATGAGACATACTGGTAATTTTTAATATTCTTAAACTAATTTATATGTAGTTTACATGTAAGTTAGTTTACTGCTAGTTAATGAATTTCAGTTTATGAAATAAGCTATTCATTTCGAAATGATTATTGTAAATATTTCAACAGGACCAGGACCAGATGGAAAAAGACATGTCAACAGTATGTATAACATTAGATGCCAAGATGCACATTTATTATTGATATAAACATTTAGTTAAAGTAACGGATAGTACTTTTCAAATGGAAATTGCTTCAGGCATACTACGCTTATTTTGACATTCAAGATTACCTTTCTTCTTCTATATGTAGAAAAATGGTTAATTGACAATGTTATAATCTACATTTTAAAGTACTAATTTGACAACAATGTAAAATGTTGCCAGGAAATATAATATAACAAAATAATACCCATTATAAGTATTGTAAAAGTGTACAATTTTTGCTTGCCAGGAAACCAAACCTAAACCAGAGGAACCAGTGCCACCAAAAGAACAAGAACTTCCTGGAGTACTGACCAACTTACAGCCAAAATGGMGGAACTGGTGGATCAGAGGAATCTTTACTTTAGTCATGATTGGTGGATTTGTTGTGGTTTTGTACATAGGGCCTCTA